CACCATGGCATTACCCGTTTTTTTTTTTTTTTTTTTACAACCAGATGGCGCTAATCTGCCTTCCAAAATTGGATTTGAATGGCTGAGTCTCGATATAACCTGAAATACTGCATTAATTGAAAAATAACTTACATTTTTTTATTTAAAAAAATTGGTATTATTTTCAATAGGGGAAAAATGGATATTAATTACTGCATAAATATTAAGTAGTACCACAAAACCCTCTCAAAATGCAAAATATAATATATTATTGAATAAAAATGTATTACAATGATTTTACTGAAAAATAAGAAGTTATGTTTCAGGTGTCCGGTCACTTTTGACCATAAGGAACATGAGTGTGAAACACAAATAAGGACTACAGAAGGGTTAAACACAACAGCAATGATACAATAGATAAATATGATATATATTACATGAAAGAAGTAAACTGAATAGAGATTGTAAAATAGAGATCGTTACCACATTCCATGTGAGCTTGAATATTTAACAACTCCCATGGTTTTTTGACTGTTACAGGAGGATCAAGTCTGTACTTTACAGCTTCTGTGCACTTCTCTGGTGACTTAAATGGCGGCCAATAACATTGTGTCCTTTCTTCATTCAGCCATGTTGCTGGTATCACTGTAAGCTCATTTGATTTGTGCAAGGTAACAACTTTATACAAGATCAGCCTAGTAAAAATAAATAAATAAATAAATGTATAGCTTTTATAATTACAATTTTGGAGGCCAAATATGCAAATGAAGAGCAGCTAGAACTACAAGAGCAGCTAGAACTATAGTAGTTCTAGCTGCTCTTCATTTGTATCATTGGCCTCCAAAATTGTAATTATAAAAGCTTGTTAAAAAAAAAGCCAACATTGATTTGTTTCATTACTACTGTATTAGTATGAAGTATATGGGATTCCAGGCTGGTTCAAATACGACTAAAAATCTGTATAATTCCATAACTCTGAAACTGTACAATAAATGCATGTATACAGTAAATTATATCACTAGGATACATTTGAACACAGAAATAAACTCTGAACCCAGTACAGAGTTAAAACATTTTTTTTGTTTCCAAGAGAATGAGTTTCATTTACCTGTTGAGCATTTTTAGTTATGATTTTTTTAAACACTTCAATTAAGAAATTCTCTAATACTTACCCATCTTTCAGTGCTTTTTGTTCCACTTTGTTATTTACAGCCTCCTCATAAGTGTCTGCCATAAGATATTGCAACATTTTAGTAAGTTAAGAAACTGCCAAACATTTGTGGTCATTCCCTTTCAATTTAGTTCAGGTATGGGCTTTCAACTTAAATTGTTAAACTGACTTATAAAAAAAAAAAAAAAAAATGTGTTTGTCAGCAAGATTTGTTTCCACTGCAATTAATGTAATTGTCAAACTGTTAATTAGAATGGGGAATCACAAACATTTGGCCACATAGTGGGCATAACATGTATGAAATTTATTTAAAAATGTTACCATATTCTGCATGAAAGATCACATTTAATTTCTCCCATGGTTTCCATCCTGTTGAAGGCTCAAGATTTTTCTTAACTGCTTCCACGTACTTCTCTGTGGATTTGAATGGGGGCCAGTAACATTGTTTCTGGTCTGTGCTCAACCAGTCTGATGCTACTACCATTACTTCATCTGTATCTTGCAAGGTGACGACAGCAAAATTCACACTAATAAAAACAAAATGGGATATTTAACTTGTAACAAATTTTAAAAATGCTTTAAAATTTGTAGAATCCAATGAACAAGTCTGTTTTACACCACAAGTGTAAGCAGCACATATTTAATTTGCCGTTCATATTAACATGTTTCAGTATTCTCACTTGACACAAAAGTAGCATGGTGCTGTGCAGATGCGTACATTTTTGTCAATGAGCAGTATAGCTCCTCGCCACAGATCTAGGTGGGACATGTGGTGCTATAGGTTTAACCGCAGAATGCTATATTATTAATTATCAACACAATCTTTGCAAACTACGCTTTTATGGCACAGCATAAAATAACAGAGCGAATTACTGACCTATGGTTTGAAAGGAAATACTCAATGTTATCATTTGTATTAAGCTGCAGCTATGTTATGTCAGTCAGAAACCTCAGTGCAAGATTGTTGCTGTTACAATGCAACTTCACTTATATCATACTTTTGAAAACGTGTAAAACAGGCATTAATGATCGCCATCGTAAAATGGAGCTGCTTCAAGTAATGAAAGGCACTTTCATCTGTTATGTGAAATGCCTCTGTTAATAAAGTTTAACAAATTATATTTTAAGCATTATCCTGATTGTGTCATCCTCACCCGTCAGGCATTGATTGGTTGTCCTCCTCATATGCCATAGGCTCATAATCACCAATCTTACACTCTTCAACACATTTAAAGTCAAAGTCCATTTCTTTGGCTTCTTCCATCGTTGATCACAATCTTCAACCTTAAAGCCCATTAAGAAGATACTAATGTTGAGTATGCCACATTTGAGAATATCTGCAGCTAACTACACAAAAATTATTTTCTATATATCGGGAAACCTAGAAATGCAATCTGCACTAGAAACTGGATGACTCAGTGAATAATGGGATAATTATCAGTTATTTTCCAGTGTTAAATATGTTCTGCTTAATGACTGATATTAGAAAAAATTATCAAATAATATCTATTAAAGAGAAAGTTTCAATAGTTGCATGGTCCCAACTCCATGGTTTTCTCATGGGTACAAATTGTCAAACTAAAGTAAAGAGTAAAGAAAGAAAGAAAAAAAAGAAAATTACACATTTATAAAACTAAATACATATGGTAACCAACAAAACCTAAAAAACAGACAAAAAAATCTAAATTAAAAAAAAAAATGTATATCATTATTTACACCCACTGTATAATCTGATGTAGTGAGTGAATGGTTTTGGCAGATGTTTCAACATTACACACCTGGAAGATAAATTTGGTTCACAAACTAGAGTAGGATTTAATAAAATGTGATCCATGTGATCCTGGTAGCTCAACAGATTTGAACAGACTATTAGAGAATATGACCTTCTTATCAGGGGTGCGTTTCCCAAAAGCACAGCTAACTAGTTCCACTGAACTCTATTGGTAACGATCCGTCCACTTGCGACCATAGTTGCTTTCGGGAAACGCACCCCTGGATGTCCTGCTCATCGCAGTTTTAAAAGGTAGGCCCTAGCACACAAATTTGCATGGTGATAGCATTTCCTGCATAACAAGTTCTATTGCCTACGTTTTAATACATTCATCGACAAACATTAGCACAGCCGAGTTTTGTGGAAAACATATAATCTTATGTCGATAATGATCAGAAAACAAACCTTAGCATTCACCTGGGCTGGTCCTAACTAGGCGGGAAGCATGCCATTTCAGCGCCGTAATGTCATTTAGTTTCAATATTCGCTTTTTCTTGCCACTGTTATAAAGAGTCGACAGTTCTACAAAGATATCACTACTACGGTTAGTTTTCCCAATAGCTATGCAACCACTTTATATCGACACAAAAAATAATTCAAAACCGCCAGCGTGTATTGTAGCTGCAAATCTAAACCTGAGAAAGCTTCGACGCGATACCGCAGCTCGGTGCGTAAGGGACCGTCTGACAATTCCACCCACTGGTTTAAAACGTCTAATGTATTTTAATTAAAATTACTTTTAACATTTAAAATAACACATTGCCAAACTGTAAAGCTTGTATTACTCATAGTGATCCTATATTGTTTAACTGAATCTGATGGAAACCTGATCATTAGTAACTTTACAGCCAGAGACGCAGGAACATACAGAGTTCTGGAGCCTTCAGCAGAACCCTTGATCACAGTGACAGTCAGAGGTGAGAGAAGCTCAGTGATGTTTAGAAATATTATCTTTAAACAGCAGATTCATACTAAACTGTGAGACTAACCTTTCAGTATTCTGTACAGAATCAAAGGAGAAACTGCACGACACTGATAAAGACCAAACTGATGACACTAAATATCACAGTGAGTAAAACAGAGGCATTGAGAGCTTTACAAAAATCTTAAACTGAATTAAAGAATAAAATCAGTGCTCTGTCACTACTTTTCTCTTCCAGCTGTAGGCTACTGGATTGCACTGACTGTGGTTTTGGTTCTGCTGGCTCTGATTCTGACTGCTGTCACGTTACACAAGCGTCTGCTCAGAGGTTAACTGCGTGTGTCTCTCGAGGAGGAAAAGAGAGACTGAGCACAGGAGACCCAGAAGCACTGAGGGCCCATAATGATGTCTGCTGAGGGCCCCACAGACTCTGATGAAACTGTAGAGGTGTGCAGGACATTAGTGACGTCACTGCTTAAGACTGGAACTCACCTCACGACTTTTCCTTAATCAGTCTTAAATCATGCTTTTTACAGTCATTTTATGGTTTAGTATGTTACCATAGACATTGCCTGATCTGATGGAATTAATTTTATTTGTGCAGGTCTTATAAAGTCTTAAATTTGATTTTTTAAATCCTGCAGAAACCCTGTTTTAACGTCTGATCATATTTTTAACACCGTAGGCATCACACACTCACCAACTTTGTAATCGTTACAGATTAAAACTAGATATCGTCATGCACTAAATGACTGAAGATCACACACTACAAGACAGTCAATCTAAATCAACAAACTCACGCAGAAACATAGGAGACACATGACAAATGAAAACAATATGCGCTCTAGAATCGGCTCAAAATATCAAATGTGTGTGATAGCCGCCTCAGAAAAAGACAAAGTCTAAAGCTAGGAAAACCGGGCCCATCATAAACTACATCATATGGTTTTTGTGAAATGTTAACTCTCACTGACCATAGTCTTAGTAACAAAGTAGCTTCAACTTCTTTACTTTACTTGTAATTTGCATTTAGAGTCAACAGATCTGCAGAAGATTCTGTCAACATATTTCTGCACTATATTTGTAATTTTCAGTACGTGTGCACATTTGGAGCAGAGCCCTACATCAGGAATCAGTTTAACTGTATCTGCATTTAGTATTTGTGTAAAGCTGCCTAAAAGATCTGGACTGGTCACTTATACCAATCCTAATTCATTAACTAGGAATTATTGTTTCTATTCTAATCCATTAACAGAAAAAAAATAGTAAAGTATTTATAATATAATATAAATATAATTAGAATGTTATAATATAAACAGTAAACATGCATATCTGCGCCGAACTGTGAAACACCAACAGTGTGCTTGTACATATGTATATTTTGTAAAAAAAATAAATAAATAATATCTAGATATATTTATATGTTGCTTTGGTTTGCTTAATTGGGGATTTGCATTATTCTTTGTAAATCTGCTGTGAAAGAGTATATATTAAACTATTTTTGTAAGAAACATTTTTCTTGGTGTTGATTTGTTGGTTTGTATTTATGTATGAATTAAATAGTTTTACTATTTTCTTTTACTAAGTTCAGAAAAATAATGCTTTATTGATAATATTATGATAAAATATGTAGATGTTAAATTGCATTTACTTACAGACTAAACAGTGTCTTAGTGAAGCTGCATGAGATTGAGACACAATCAGAGCTGAAATCTGCTCAAACTGTTGAGATCAGACTGAAATCATCAGAGATCTTGTTCAGAATAAACTTCAGCTGACTGTATCTGGACTCACACACTGTTTTTTAGCCAAATGTCTATCTATGTAAGATATTAGATCTCACATCTTCTGACAGCTCAATCTGCTTTGATAGAATAACCAGCAGAGGGCAATAAACACCAATCATACTCCTCCTTTAGTGGGAGGAGCCAAACATACTCCTCCTTTAGTGGGAGGAGTCAACCATACTCCTCCTTTAGTGGGAGGAGCCAACCACGCTCCTCCTTTAGTGGGAGGAGCCAACATAACCCTCTGAAAATCCCCTTCTAGGAATGATACTTTCGGTTTTGGTTTTTACTTCGATCTCGCTAAACGAGCAGTGGTTTACGAAATTTAGACACCCAGAATGTAAAACTCGTGCAGAATTTTACAATGTAAGTTTTTTTTATTCTTTTAAATATAAAGCGTGTATGTTTTTGTCTCATTATACCAATAGTTGTGTTTATGTGTGAAAAAGGGTTGCCTGCTAAAGATGCTAAAGATGCTAACGTTAAGGAAATAAGCGAACATGTTTATTATTATGCTGATGAACAAAGATTATGATGATGGTTTTTATTAGTGGGGTTATTAATGTAATTGTTAAAATGTTCTACATTGATTAGTCAATGCAATCAAATGATTTCTAGGTTGATGTGTGGATTGTTTGGTTACTCTGTCTGTTTGTGTCTAATGTTCGACGGATCATGTTGACTCAGATAATAACTGATAATATTTATAAAACCAAATATTCAGATTATAGTTTGATGTTTCTTATTAGACATTTTTATCATGTAAGACTTATTTATATTTTTAATCCATTTTTATAACAAATATCTGGTTGCTGCAATGGAAGTCACTATTTTAGTTCTGTGTTCATTATTATAAACAATTGCTGTCCTTTTTTGGTAAAAACAGGAAAGAGTTAAAGCTAAGTAGTTTATAAGGTAAACCTCTGGTCGTTGCATTTAGACTTCTGACTGAACCTGCTGCTTTCTATTAATTCATCAACCAGATCTCATTAGTCATTAGTGCTTGAGATTGAGCATTTAATGCTTTTATTTCATGAAGAGACAATGAAGTAACCTGAGGTTAAGTGTTTAGATGAAGAGCACAAAGGCTAAATAGATCATGTCTCTGATGAGCAATGAGCATCCTTAATATTTACATTCATTTCTGATGCTAAATATTAGAGAAACTCCTCCATCAGTTCACAGCTGATGAATCCACTTAGATGTGTGAAGAAATATCTTCAGCAAAAGAAAATCCAGTTGACTAAATTAACTATATTAGAATATTTTATTATAACATTGATTTCTGAGAATAGACAGAAACATGTATTTTTCAGTATTGATACTTTCTATTGAATGAATATTATACTGTATTTGCAGGAAACACCACTATATCTGTGTCAGGAATAAAACATTTATTACTGAGAATAGACAGAAACACATTTTTCATTACTGATACTTTCTATTGAATGAATATTATACTGTCTGTATTTGCAGGAAACACATCTAAACCTGTGTCAGGAGAAAAGGGAGGAAACGTCACACTAACATGTGAATCTGAGGCCAATAATATTGTTCACACTGAGTTATTCAGTCGGTCAGAAGACATAGATGTGTGTCAGGATGAAGAATGTAGTGTTCGAGTGTTTAAAGAAGGAAACTGTGACGTCGTCATCAAGAATCTGAGCTTCAGTGACGCTGGGAAATACTACTTGAGAGTCTATTACAATAATGATCAGACAGAGCTGGAGCGACTAATCAGGACGTACCAACTTCATATTCATGGTAAAGTCAAAACTGATCAAACATCAGCATCTGCTTTTTTAAATGATTACATTTAGTTCCCCGATACTAAATATGTGTTCATGGCCTTGAATGATTGACAGCATTATAATAATGATTAATGTCTTTCTGTTTCTCCTCAGATGAGATTACTGTGAAAACAGGCGAGGAGCTAAAGATGTCTGTTCTGTTGTCTAATGCTGATAAAGTGGAGAAAAGCTCTAGTGGAGAGTGGAGGGAGGTTTGGAGCAGAACTGATGGGGTTCAGAGCGATCAAATGAATGAAAATGATGAAAACCTGATCTTTAAAGTGTTTATGGACAGAGATGCAGGAACATACAGAGTTCTGGACTATGAAAGAAACATCTTGATCGCAGTGACAGTCACAGGTGAGAGAAACTCAGATTTGAGGGAATATTATTTATAAAGCATGTGGACAGCTGAAGTTTATTCATCATGATCTGAACATCACATTGATGCTGAACTGTGAGACTGACCTCTCAATATCCTCTAGAATCAGGTACAGAATCAAAGGACAAACTGAGCTTCACAAATAAAGACAAAACTAATGGCACTGAACAACACAGTAAGTAAAACAGAGGCATTGAGAGCTTTACAAAATCTTCAAGCAGTGAGTTTAATAATGAAAAAACATTTTTAAAAATTGTGCTCTCTTCCTATCTTCCTCTTTTCCATCTGCAGCGAAATGGATTGTGTCAGTTGGAGTGTGTTTGGGGATTCTGGCTGTGATTGTGATTGTGATTTCTGTCATCATATGGCGACGTCAGCACAGAGGTCACACACAGGTTCCAGTACAGGAGAATACAGAGCACAGACACACTGGAGAAACTATAATGATCTTCACTGAACGTGACTCAACTGCACAGGAGCCCTGAACACCTGCGATGCCACTGGTTACTTGTTATTTGCCTTCAACACCAACACAATTCTGTCAACATATAACGGCAGCTGGGGGTGTGATATGTATCGTTAAAAATATTATAGTAATTGTTGTTTTAATGATGTGTGAGCTGACATTATTTTGTGAAAAATAAGCCTTGAGAGTCCACGATTTCACTGCGTGATGAAATCTAGTAGAATGCAGTTAGAATTACCAGAAATCATCATAGATAAAGGTGATCAACTTCATGTTTATTTGCACTGACCGTTCACTCTAAGACCAGCAGAATATGAATATGAATATGATCCCACAGCATAACAGAGCAACTGGATCCCCTGATTGTACTGTATTTCTATGCATGTTCTGCACAAATCTGTTGAAATATGTGCCAGTGCAAGGAAGAGGACACGCAACGTTTCTTTCCCATTTTAAACATCTGAAGTTTTTTTCTTGCCGCTGTTGCCTTCTGCTTACTCTGGGATTTTAAGGAACTATCTTTTTATTTGAAAAAGGAAATCGCTGCTTTATAAATATCACAACCTCTTTTGATACAGCAAAATTCTTACTTTTTTAATTATGTATTTTAATATTGCATTTGATGATATTATACATGTTACGTTTTTGTCTGTCATTTAACTTAAAATCTAGAAGCAAGAAATGTTTGATGGATTTTAAACTCTCTTTATAAACTGCACCAAATCAATCAATAGATGTTTAGGATAAAAAATATTTATCGTAAATCATTCTTATTACCTCACTGTGACTGACAAGGTTTTTATAATCAGATATGTGCAGATGAGAGCAGTCATGTCTTTTGAGTTCAGCTATTTTTGATTTTGCTCTGTTTGTGACTCCATTCAAGGAATATTGCAAATCAAGATCTGTGGCATCCGCAGATCTCTTTAAAAATATGTTTGTGAATTAAACATGAGACACTATTCTTCATCATTACAGTATGATACTGACTACAGTCTCTGGCGCATTAATCAATGTTTTAAAGTTTTTTTATATTATTTTTAGATTTATGGTCTTTTTCTTTTCTTAAGAGTTGTATTTCTCTCATGTTTAACATTGCTTTGTTCAGGGTATAAGAGGAAAACTAAGATTTTCTGTACAGTATGTCATTCTATTCTACTGTCTGTATGTTTAAACATTTTAATGACTTTGTCTGCTTTAAAAGTCTTGAGAATCTTTCCTTCAGCGTGAGCTTCCTGCCTCACGTTACCTCAGAAAACAATCACTTCGTCCTTCAGTTTAAGAAAAATCAACACCAGAAAACATGAACTGTTCTGAAAGTTTAGCCAGAACACTTAAACATTGCATGTGTTAATATGAGACTCATATGTATAACTGTGGTCTGTGTAACGTTACCAGGGGTGTATAAATCCAGCCTGTGTTTTTGTGTTTCTATACCAATTGTTGTGTTTCTGATTCTGGGAAACTAAACCTGCCAGTGATACCAAGGAGATTAAACAACATATTAATGCATAACATATCCATAACTGTGATAAGATGATATGACAATTATTATGATGACGGTTTTAATTAATGGGGTTATTAATATAATTATTAGATTGTTACTGAATTTCTAAAACCTGTGTATTGGGTCTTTTGGTTTGAGAAATCATTTTGACTATTACACAAGAATCATTCACAATCTCAGGAAAAAAGGTACAAAAGCTATCAGTGGGGTTGCACCCTTATAATCTACCTTAGTTACCCAGATTACTTTTTGAAAGGGTGCCACCCCAGTGACAGCTTTTGTACCTTTTTTTCTGAGAGTTATAGTCTGATGTTTCTTATTGGGCATTTTTGGTATGTAAGCTTCACATGTTAAATATTCAGACAAAATGAAAGTGAAAGTTTTTTTGTTTGTATTTTAATCTCAGGGAAGCATCTTATATCCCTGTATGAATGTCTTAGTGACGCATCTGTGACGTCACATCTCTTCTGTTTTCTCATCAGGTTCAAACGCTTGAATCTGCTGCTGCTGCTGTGCTTTTTCAATTACAGCCGTCAGTATTCAGTCCTTTTAGTTAATAAATTGTAACAATTTTTGATTTTCATTGTCAGGTAGAGTTACTCTAGTTGATTGTTTTTCTGTTGAGTTAATTTATTTATTCAGGAATTCATCTGATACACATCTGATACTATTATCATCAACATTTGAAATGTTAAAATTTTGCATATTGTTGGCTCCTTAATGCTTTCCTTTATATATTTTTATATTATTATTATTATTATCCAGTTGACTAAAATAACTGTTTTTTTTATGATACAGAGAATAGAGAGAAATGCCACATGTATTTTTCAGTACTGATACTTTGTATTGAATTAATATTATACTGTATGTATTTGCAGGAACCATCACTAGATCTGTGAAAGGAATAAAGGGAGGCAACGCCAACCTATCATGTGAATTTGAAGTCAAAGACGTTAATTATATTGATTTAAGCAGGTTAACAAGCATCCTTTCTTGTCAGAATGAAGAATGTGAGAGTGAAAGTGAGAGTCAAAATGGGCGAGTATTTAAAAAAGGATCATGTGACGTGATTATCAAGGATCTGAGACTGAGTGACGCTGGGAAATACATTTTAAGAGTCTATTACACTAAAACTCAGGCAGAAGTGAAGCGTCAAATCAGGACGTACCGACTTCATTTTCAGGGTAATGTCAAAACTGATCAACATGGGCTTTCTGGTTTTCCTTTAGTAATTGTGTTGGTATTGCATGAGGGCCAGTAACCGGCAGAGACACTAATGTGGTGCTAATTTTTAGACGAGTCGTCTCCGATATAGACTTTACAATGCTTATTTTTAAATTATTACATTTGGTCCCAGACCTAAATATGCACTATAAAAAATGACCGTGAATTTAACGGTAAAAGACTGTAAAAATGCTACAGTAAAAACCTGTTAAATGGTTAACGGTAAATTCCCCTACTATATACGGTGAAAAACTGTATTGGGCATTACATGTATTGGACATTAATTTTACGGTAGTATACCGTTTTTGTAAGTGAAAAAGACTGTATAATTTACAGTGAATAACCGTAAATTGACATTCCCAGAATTCCCTGCGTTACATTTCAAATTTGATGTTTTTTTGTTGAAATAACTGTTTCTTCTTCAGTTTTGTATATTAGGGTTGTGTGTTAGACCTAATGTTGTTAAATGAATGTTTATTGCATTATTTCAGTTTCATGTGTGTTACCATGATGGTGTTTGGTGTTTGTGTGAATGACACTGTGCACCTTCTATATATTTTATTATTTAAAAGCTGCTTGTGATGGGCTTTGGTTCATCGTGTGACTTTCTCATCACCACCTGCATTTGGTGGTTATCAGTGTATTACAAAACTACAAAACAGATTTCAGTACTTCAATAGGTTGGTATATTAACATTATATCAGTTAATGAAATTACGGTATTTAACTGTAAATTTAAGTTAAAACCGTAAAACCTAAAACGTTGCTACCATATTTTCTACGGTAAAATCCCGGCAACCGCAGCTGCCGTTTTTTAACCGTAAATTTCATGAATTTTTTTTTACAGTGTGTGCTTATAGCCTTGATTGATTGACACCATTATAATAATAATAATAAATGTCTTTGTTTCTCCTCAGATGAGATTTCAGTGAAGAAAGGTGAGGAGCTGAAGTTGGATGTTCTGTTGCACCATGCTTATAAAGTAGTGTACTGGACCAAAAGAAGCACAGGGCGGAAGGAGGACTGGAATAGAAGCCATGGGGTCAGAAGTGATCGAATGACCGTCAGAGATGGAAACCTGATCATTAATAATTTTACAGCCACTGACGCTGGAACATATGAGGTTCTGGACTCTGAAGGAGAAATCCTGATCATGGTGACAGTCACAGGTGAGAGAAGCTCAGTGGATGCTTAGAAATATCATTATGAAGCATTTCAACTGGTAAGGTTACATCAGATTGATGCCTAAACCGAATGACTAACCTTTCAACATCACCTACAGAATCAAAGGATAAAATGAACTACGTACATGAGGACACACAGCAACATAGTAAGTAAAACAAGAGGCATTGAGAGAAACTCTTTAAACATTGAGTTTATTGATTGATTAATTAATGTGCTCTCTTCCCAGCTTCCCCCCTTCCACCTGAAGCATATTGGATTGTCCCAGTTGAACTGTCAGTGGTTTTGGTGATTCTGGTTGCTTTAAAAAGAAAAAGGATGCACAGATGTCCAGGGGCACAACTACACATTTGCTGAGGGGTTTGCAAGATCATTGTCAGAGATGGGCATAAATACATGAAAATGCATTGAAAATACAAATACAAAATACTGTGTGGAAAAATGTATTTAAATGCAAATTACATTAGATTTTTTTTCAAAGGCTTTAAAACTCAAAAAAGTATTTTGTATTTCAAATACATATTTTAAATACATGTATCTGAAATACTGTCCCCAGTGTTGTGGGCCCCGCCAAAAAAAAAAAAGGCTAAATAAATAGCTATTGTTTTAATAAGCCACCAAAATTTTAATTTCAGCATTCTTGATTCCAATTTTGATACCACAGCGAAATGTAATTTGTTTCATCATATGCCATAACCATGCATGAATATACACTAGACAAATGCAGTCAAGGTGAATTAATGCATAATTAATAAATAATTATATTTTATTTACTGACAACAATAGGAGACATAAATAAACGAGTGAAAGAATGAATAAAAGTAAGCATCACAACATATACAAGTCAACAACACATGAAACAAAACTTTATTCAAAGTTATTTTTCTAATAATCACATCGACAAGATTCAAGTTCCCTCTGTGATTTATGTGCTCAAAACTGAATTTAAATATTGAGGTAGTCCAACACAAACGATCCTCAGTTTATCAACAGTACTAATGGACAAATAAAATACTGTATGTTTAGTTACTCTATGTAGATTTGTTTATTTACATTCATCTAAAGCAGTGTTGACAACAGTACTATCTACTACATAATAGCACACTTAAGCTAGCACCTTTATTTTTAAGAGTAAAGGGAATAAATATGGGACCAGATGAGACCAAAAATTTATTTCAGTGCTTTCTCTCACAATTATATCATTGGCTAATCATGTCCCTTTAGTGGCTCCGTTTTATGTTTTATGGTGCGTATTTTTAAACACCATATTTTAATTATTCTCAGGTTAGGTAAAGTCAAATCTGTCCTACATCATAAGCATCTGAGTTTTCATACTTAGAATAAATAGGTCACAGAAGACTTCTCCGTGGTCTGTTCTGCTCAAGTTTAGAAATCAGAGACTTTTGGCAGGCAAGCTTCTTGGTTTTAATTACATATCATTTTATTGACTACAGGTTAACTACTTTACATAACAAAAAAAAACAAAAGCAAATAGTTTATCATCTGATGCATTTCAGTCGTTTATGAACAGCTTGTCGATTTCTTGAGACGTCATGTAATCCTCTCAGAATCTATTTCTAAGACCCTTCGCCTCTTCGTTTTTCTTCTTCAGGATTCTTTCCCTTTGCTGCCTCCTCTGCTTTGTCTGCGATACATCTAATACTGCCTTTTTCCCCTTTCTTCTTCTTTTCTTTCTTTTCAAAGCTCTTATTAATACATGTTTCTTCTCTCTCTGTTCTATAAATATATTCTTAATAAATGCAGTAAAACAGCAAGTGTACTTTACATCAGAGCATCCCAGCAAGCCCAAGCACACATTCAACTGCTATAATCACTATATACGCCAAAAATACAGAAGTCACAAAACCAAAAAGAAGTTTCTCTGCCCAGCTCCAGTGCTCTTGAGCGGAATGGGGGGAAGCTGGAAAGAGAGCACAAATTTTATATTTTTAAACTCACTGTTCATTTATTTTATTTTTTTTAGAGCTTCTTACTTTACTGTTCTTCTGTCTTACCTTTGTTTTCTCCCGCTGAGCCATATGACAAAATATGAACAAGATATGAAAACATTAGTCAGTTTAAAAGAGAGAATCCCAAGCTCATGATGTATTAGAAATATTTCTAAACATTTGTTGATCTTCTCTCACCTGTGACTGTGAGTGTGATCAAGATTTCTCCTTCAGAGTCCAGAACTCTGTATGTTCCTGCATCACTGGATGTAAACTCTTTTATAGTCAGGTTCCCATCACTGTCAGTCAGTCGATCGCTCCAGACCCCGTGGCCTCTCTTCCACACCTCCGTCCAATTCCCACTGGAGTTTGTCTTCACTTTATCAGCCCTGGACAGCAGAACATTCAACTTCAGCTGGTCGCTGGTTTTCACAGAAATCTCATCTGAGGAGAAACAGAAAGGCATTAATTGTTGTTATAATGATGTCAAACA